TAGTGACACCAACCAAATCTTTTACCTGCTGCAGCTACACTATTTTCCAACATCGTTTGGCATTTAGCTCAATCAACCTTTTGATCTGCTTTAACTGACTTCCTTTTCCCTGTGGGGATGAAGAAAGGCATTCCCACAGCATGATTCTACCTACACCATCCCCATGTCTCAGCATGATGGACAGTTTTACTTTCATGCACATTTAGACTTTTGATAAAGCCAAAAAAAAAAAAAAAAACTTCTTCCACCTTTTTCCTGTGTTACCTACATGGCTTTTGAGTGGCACATTTTAATTAAAAATGGGACATTTATGTTTTTTTCTTGAACAATAACTTTCACCTTGCTTCTCTTCTATTGTTGCTATGTTTGTAGAATGCATTACATTGCATTGCATTACTAGCTGTCAGGTCAACAGATTCCACCTCATGAGGTGTGAATATCTGCAGCTTCTCCAGTGTAACCACAGACCGCTTTACTGGCTGCCAGTTTAGGCTGACAGCCACGGCTTGGTAAGGTTTTTAATCGGGTAGCGCTGTTTTCAGTTTTGGATGAGGTATGAACGAATACCTCCTGATATGTTTAAAGCTTGGAACATTGTTTTTGTTCCTAACTTTTTTTTAAACCTCTCCACAACTTCACCCTGACCTGCTTTGTGGAGTCGTTGGTCTTAATGATGTGGTCGGTTGAGCTCTGATGTCTTCAGAGAACGGCTTTAATTATGGTGAGATTAATTTCCACGCCGGTGGACTTTAGACCGATGTCTATTTGTAACAGAAAAGTTATGGGGTAATTTGTGTTAATATGTCACATAAAATTCCCAATTTTATTAGTGGTTTTAGCAAAGCAAATTGCGAACTAGTTCAGAGGGTATGGGTTTCTTTTCAAGGCATTGTACCTGGTAATTAGCAACACAAGCAGATATGAACAAAAGCAGACACAGCTGTTTTCACACATCGAAGAAGAGACATGCTGGGCGGATGGGATCTCTTCCAGTGCCTTAGCTCATAGGTTGTCATGTTCCCGGGGCTTTTCCCAATCTTCTGGGGCCTTTGGTGGAGGCTGGAGTGAGGCCTGGGGATTAGAGTTGAGCATTAAGAACTCTTGCCACTGGAGGTCTGAAAACTGAACCCGGGGCCAAGTGCTTGTAGTTTTCTGCATGGCTCCGTGTCTCACTTACTCGTATCTGCATCCTAATCTGTTCCAGCTCATTCCCTGATCGTTTTTATCCCCTCTTATCTTTACTTATCGTTTGATTTTACATCTGTATTTCTATTTTTGTTGCTCTTTTTTCTTCCTGCAGCTGTTTAGACTTAGACCACACCCAGTGCTTAAAATAGTGCACATTTCTTGGCCATCAGCACTTATTCTTCTTTTTTGACTGGATGCAGTTCATGTACTCATTTTCACCCATGTTTCATTGAGTATGATAAATTTTGTATTCCTAATTGGGTGCTTGTATCTGTTGACATTTATGTGCACGTAAACTCATTTTCAACTCACTATAGAACTTGGAGAACAATAGGATGAAACAGTTTTTATATATATTTCTTTTGCAGCGATGATGCAACCAGGTCTGATTTGAAAAAGCTCCCTGCTCTGCCCACTCAAGCTCTGAAGGAACACCCGTCTCTGGCTTATTGGTGAGAACCTGTTCAGTAAATCATCATGCAGACTTGTTTACTATCTGTCACTGTAACAATGCCCTGTTTTCTTCTATTGCTTTCCTACAGTGAAGACCGGGTAATAGAGCATTTCAAGAAGCTCAGTGGGCAATCTAGAGGACAGGCTATTGTAAAGTGAGTATGTTTATGCATCTCTGGTTGTGTTTATGTCCTGCATGTGAAAGACTTTCTTCTGTTTTTCGTTACATATCTGTCTTTCTGCTCCTTACAGTTATATGAGCATTGTGGAATCTCTGCCCACATATGGAGTGCATTACTATGCTGTAAAGGTACAGTTTTACTACGCTGCCTCGACTTCTTTTTCTCACACATGCACTGCACAGATTTTAGTTTCCTTGGGGCATGCAAGCAGATATCTGTGAAGTTTTGCTCTGTTTTTCAGGACAAACAGGGGATCCCATGGTGGCTGGGTTTGAGCTATAAAGGCATCTTTCAGTATGACTACCAGGATAAAGTCAAACCAAGGAAGGTGAGATTGTGCTTCCGTCTCTATATATTTTATATTGTGTGTGTGTGTGTGTGTGTGTGTGTGTGTGTGTGTGTGTGTGTGTGTGTGTGTGTGTGTGTGTGTGTGTATATATATATATATATATATATAGATAGATATATATTGAATATGGAAAGGATGGTACTTGGTAATGAAAAACATGTAAGAACATTGTCTGTAGCATGTTGTTTTCCCTTGTGTCCGTTTTCCAGTCAGTGAGTCTACACAATCACATTGTGTTGTGTAGACTACACAATGTGTAGGGACATAAGCAGGGATGACAGCTATCTGGAGACTCTGGTCTTTGACTGAGATATTCTGTCCTCAACTTATTTCTGCCTTTCTGAGGAAGCCTTCCTTCCAGTCAGTTTGTGTCTGGATGACGTGACTACCAGTTTATTTTACCTTTAACTTGTGGTCCTGGCCAAGGTTTTGAAGTCTTGCATTCACTAGTGTTAAGCTCATTAACATAGCTTTGCAAACTTACTGGCCGTCAAAAACTCACCAATACTAGCACTGATTACTTTGCTCAGAAACACAGGCAGGAACTTGTTGATGCACATACACACAAGCATCAAACTAAAAGCTGAGCTCACCATCCTGAAGACCACTTCCTGTCTGCTAAATGTTTTCCTGTTTGCCTCTAACCCGCTTTGTGAGTGCGCCTGCATTTTAATTTGGACAATTTCAGTCGAAGTTGTCTCATTAAAGAATCCTGATACAAGCTAGGTGTTAGATCATTGACATAATAGTGAATTTTATTCCTCTATTATATCCAATTTACAGACACATTAACACCAAACCCTATTTTTTTTTTGTTGTTGTTGTTTTTTACAGAGAAATCATTGCATTCATCTTGTTCCAAAACAACACTGTAACATGAACATGAATGATAACTGAGCAAGTATAGAAAGAGGACATAGCATTCCATCACAAGTGACTTGTCACGTATTGCACAGCCATGTCAACAGTCATTGTGAGTCACTGGTCCATTAAGCTTCAGAACTGACATACACAAGCTTTCACAAGCAGACGCTGGGATATTCTGTGCCTCTTTACAGCACACTGCTTCAGCATCACAAGTTCAGAACAGTCCCATTTAGAACAGTCCAGATTTGCCTTAATCAAACTGTTAGTAGCAGACTGTTTTACTTTCAGTTCTAAGAAGTGAAAGAGAGGGATGTAATCAGCTGCTTATTTTCGTTAGACAGGTCATCACCATTAGAACTAGCAGAAAGCAGATTTTGTGTTTTTAGTGTTTCAGAACCAGTAACCACTGACTCAGTACTGACCATCAGTGGTCAGCACTGTGACTCAGGAAGGTGGAGTAAAATCTTTAGTCACAATAAAGTATATAGATTTAAAACACAGGATGTTTTTCTTTTTTCAAACAATAGTGAACTTCACATTGTCTTGTATAAAAAAAATGCACATAGAAGTCGTGTTTGTAATTAAATGTTTTTTTGTTTTTTTCTTTTTACAAGAGTGTGAGCCGGTTGTTTTAAATACACACCATCTACCACATCTATTTGAGCTGTTTTTTGTTTTACACAGGGACGTATGTTTATGTTCAGGTTTACTGCATAATCACACACTGTTCTGATGCCTCATTAGAGTCTTGTGATTCCTCTAGGCAACAATTATAGTGTTTGCAAGTTGACTAAGTACCTTTTAAAGACTTATTAAGACTAACCTGTGGGTACTGTCGGAAGGTCATCAGATGTTTCTGGTAAAACAGAGCTAACTGTGGTTTTACTTGTTGCATTTTTAAGTCCATACCCCTGGAGCTTTTTGTCATATAACTCGATGTGTATTTGGTGTATTTTATTAGGATTATATATCATAGATGAGCACAAAGTGGTTTGTAATTTTGAAGTGAAAAAAAAAAGTATATATATATATTTTTTTAATCAAAATTAATAAGAATATGCAAAGTGAGCCATGGATTTTAACTGAGCTCTTTTCAGTGTGATAGCCCTAACTAAAATTCAGTACATTCAAAAGGCACCTAGCCTGTAAGTTGAACCCACATATTTGTAATTTAAAGAGATTTACGTTTCAACAGGGCAGGAACGCCTGAGAATACAACACAAGCTGTAATGATGCTGTTAAAAGTTCAAATGCTGTTGCAAGGCGTCATACTCTCTGTTTGCGTGTTAGAGGATGTAGAGCACGCTGCCTTTTAAACTGCATACTTTTTGGGGAAAAGGTGGATTGTTTTAAGTCGTAATTTATGCAAAGCCAAATTAATACATAAATAAAAGGAAATGCCTTAAGATTGATGTGAAGCTCAATCTTTGCGACGTCTAGATGCCACACAGTCGCATCCCCACCCATATACAAAGCCATTGTCTTCCTCGCTCACAGGTCCAAGTCCACAAAAGAATAATATGTTGCGTCACTGTAGCTGTCCTGACCTACGTTGTTTAAATGTTCTATTCTTCTGTAATCTCCAGGGAGTCTGCTACACCAGAGAAAGGCATTTGCACTCTATCAGAATTGACCTTTACATCTGTGATAGATGTGAGTTTGGTTGTGCTGACATTATTATGAGACAGGCGAGGGTCTGTGCACTTGAGCGCTCTGTTCAGTGGTGAATCATGACCAGTCATTTCCTTTGCTTGTGTGTTTGTGCCATTGTGTAGCAGTAGTCTGCAGCCAAGAGGAAGAGGGTCGGCAGCGTGTGCACATGTACACGCACTACTCTTATAACAGAACCCCCCGGTGGCTTTTACATTAATCCTAGAGAGAAAAGTAGCTGTAAAAAAAAAACACAAGGGCTACAAAGGTGTTTTTTTATTATTATTATTATTAAATAAATAGACTTATGTAACTTTGAAGTAAAAATAGATAACTACAAGCTTGTATAGGTGTACCAAAATAACACGACAGTAGTATTTGATACAACAATAATACTTCACATGTAAAACTTACATTAAAGGCTCGGCATGATAATAAACACTGCAGTATATGGAAACACTGACAAGTTGGCAGGCAGGGCAAGGTTTCCAAGTCCTGCTCTGTTGAAAGGCATTTCAGAACAGTAAAACAACACCTGGATTTGAAAAAGAGACAAAAATATGTAATCCAATGAAAATGGCACATTTGATTATGCTGTGCAGGTTAATTTGGCATTTGATTTTTACTCAAAAGTCAAAATTTCCAAATCTCAGGTTTAAACAGAAAACTATTTATTTGAAGTCAGAACTCTAAGCAAGTCTCTCACAAGCCCAAAATCTAAAAAAAAAAATGTTTCATTTGGACATCTATGAGGATTTAATTGCTTCTCAATATCTGCTTCATATATAGCATGCTAAATCTGAATATGTTAATGAACGCATTCCTTTAGTATTTAATGAGAGGGGCTACAGCATCAGAAGATCAGACTGGGCACTACTCTGGTCAGCTAAAACCAGGAAATCATGACTACAATCCATACTGAATTGCCAAAATTCAGCAATAGTAAATGTAGGTTTAATGAGTCTCAATTTCACCTGTAACGTTTAGATGGTCAGAATTTGACGTATGCGTGGATTTATTAACAGTAAGTAAAACACGGTTAAATTAAAATTGTGTTTGTGTGGTAGTAGTTAAAAATGCTTCAGTGTCACTCTGAAGTTTTAGATTCAGTTTATCCCAACTGGCTTTTGTCGGTTTGTGTGTATGAACCGTGCATCACTGCTGGTTAGTCTTGTGCACTGTAAATGGTTGATATAAAAAATTGTTTTGAATACCACTAGCTGCAATGCAAGTACCAGAATGATTAGAACCATGACTCTAGAAGACATATCTAATCTCCGCTGCTCCGGCTCATTTCTAACTAACGCACCCACACAAGCTAAATCTGCCCTGCCTGCTATTTTTAGCACCACGCTACATTAGCACTCCACACTCCACTGAATGTATGGCAGGGGTTTTGATAAGGCAGCTGATTTTTATTTATTTATTTGTTTTTTTACCCTCAGACATTTATATCCTCATAGATGCACAGACATTCAAATTAGACATAATTGTCTTTTTTGTGCATTACTTTAGCAATTCACATCTCCTTCTGTTTATTGTTTTACCTTATATCTTTCACACTGTTTACGTCTTCTCTAGTTCCTTGTGTCTCAGATGAACTGATAGAAGCAGAAAATCCTTCTCCTTTTACTTTCTCTATTAAGAAGAATAATACCCAGAGTTCTAACTAACAAAGCAACAGCACTTCTATCACCAGGCCCACAGAAAGCCTCACTCCTACTTTTCTAGCATACACACACACCTCACAGCCGCTACACCAACCCGTTGTTGCACACACACCTCCCAACTGCAGCCTGGAGCTGAACACAGAGTCCCCGAGGGAGGGAGGAGGGGTCATGAGGAGGGGATAAACTCCCCTTCTCATTTCTAAACCCTCCCAGCAAAACTCCAGAAGAGGAGGAAACTTAACTTTACTCACTTTCTCTACACACACACACACACACACGCACACATGGCTCCAGATGGTGAACACACACCACCTCAAGCCTCTCTTTTCCTCTAACGCTTGGAAGGACTGAACCTACACACTTGCTGCAGAGCTCGTCTTTAGGGAAGCTTTTCTACACAGCTGGCTTGGACTTTATTTCACAGAGCAGCAAATGGTTCGTGAAGGAGACGGAAGAGGATTTAAAAAAAAGAAAAGTCAAGACTCCTTCCGCTCACACTGTCTTACTTCAGAGTGAAGTCATCCAGTGCTGGGAGCCTTTGTGGAAAGACCGCCTCGTCTGGACCTGATCATAGACCTCCAGATTTGAGGTCTCCTTTTCCCTAACAGCTCCTTTCTTATCAGCTTTTCTTTTTCTCCCTGCTTCTCTGATTCATTTGCATGTCCCTGCCAAACAAAAAGAAGCATTCTGGGAAAGAGATCGGGCTAAAGGCTGTGAGGATTTAATGTGAAGCACGTTTCCTCCGAGCTCTTCTAAAGGCTGTCTGTTTTTCCTAAATCTCAGGTGTTTCAATGGCGTCAACTGGAGAACCTTTACTTCAGAGAGAAGAAGTTTTCAGTGGAAGTTCATGACCCCAGGAGGTAAATTTACATCACAAACTCAGTCTCTTAAAGCGCTTTATTGATTTGTGTTTTTTATATTCTTTTGAGATTTTAGAGTGTCATTGAATCATCACAGTCCATTTTTTTGATCTAATTGAAATTACAGAAGTTTCCTAAGTTGTGGATACCTTCCCATGGCTTTTACTTTAAGTTAATAGTCAAACATATGGGGATATGCAGAGATCCACAGTATATTCTGTGTGGGGCAGGGAAACAGAGGTTGGAGTCGAATTTAGTCAAAGTAGTAAAAATTTGTCTTGGCAGCACAGCAGACGATGGGGATGTCATGGTGGAGCAGATTGATAGTCGGAGTCTTAAACATGTGTTCACACACACAAACACACACAGACTAAAGCACTGATAGATTATAGGAGACAGAGAGATGGATGTAGTATAGCTCTTTGTAGAGGAAGTGACCTCTCTTGTGTTTGTTTAACATGGCTGTATTTATATATATATATGGAGTGTTATTCTGCAGACAGAAAGGGAGGGAATGGGTGAAAAAGAGACAGACGGGGTGAAACAGGGAGCAGCGGTGTGTTCTTTAAAGGAAGCTGTCATTAGAGCGAGCTGGTCTGCTGCAGATGTGTGTTTAAAAAAAGGACGAGTAAACAATGTGGGACATTGTGTGTGGCTATTCTAAAATAAATAAAAAAAAACATCTTTATCATCGTTATTCGTTAGTTTCAGTAGCAGCAGGAGCCACTAGAGCAGTCGAACAATCTTTTGTTTTCAGTGTATATAAGGAGGCCTTGTGTCCGCTCTTACTGTAGGGCGTCGGTAACCAGAAGGACTTTTGGTCACAGCGGCATCGCCGTGCATACCTGGTACGCCTGTCCGGCTCTCATAAAGTCCATCTGGGCCATGGCCATCAGCCAGCATCAGTTCTACCTGGACCGCAAGCAAAGCAAGGTCAGTTTCAAAGCAGTAAGTCAGAGAATGCCGTCATTTAACAAGTTCGATTCCCAAGAAACAATGTTAAATTTTCTTTCATCTAAAAACTGAATTATGGACCACCGAATAACTGACCAGTTCTTTTGTCTTCAAAGTCCTGATTTTATTTTATTTTTTTCATGAAGGTTCCTCTAGTATTTAGCGTAGTCCATGTCCAGGATAACTGTGTATGTGGTATCACTTGAAGAACTGACTCCAGCTGTTGTCCAAGAACTTGCGAACCCACCCAAACTCTTAAATGAAATTTATTTCTCTAATCTTCTCACAGATGTGGTTATCTCCATTGATCTGCACTGTTTTCTACTATGTTTTCCTTCCACTAAACTTTCTAACATTATGCTTGGATAAGGCTCTTTGTAAAGTCACCTTCTTTAACAACAACATTTTGGTTACCTCTCTTCTGACATTATTTGAATAAACCAGAGATTGGGTTTTTCTTTAGTTGTTATCCAGGATAAATTTAATAACTCAATGTAATAATTCTCCATAAGTTATTGATTATATCCTAATTTATCGAAGTGCAACTGTGTTTGTACACAGTATGTTTTTACAAATCTTCCCTTTTGTTATCTTTCCAGTCAAAGATCCACGCTGCACGGAGTCTGAGTGAGATCGCGATAGATCTTACAGAGACAGGAACTTTGAAGACATCCAAATTGGCCAACATGGGCAGCAAGGGCAAGATTATCAGTGGCAGCAGCGGCAGCCTGCTCTCCTCAGGTCTGTGTGTGTGTGTGTGTGTGCGTGTGTGCGTGTGTGTGCGTGGGTCTGAGTGTGTTGAGGAAAAAGAAAGCAAAAGGGAAAGATTTGACGAACGCTGAAGGAGACTGATTAATACGTGACTCTGGATGTGTTTGCATGCGTTGGTATAGGCAGTGAGGAGCTTTGGAAGGACAGAAGCAGCTGTCGCTGATGAATGTTCTCACGCATATACTGTACAAACACCCCACCCTGTCTTTCAGTATGCATGGGATATCACTCCCACCCTCCATGTCACAGATTCATCCTCCAGAGGCCCCTACCTCCTCTAAATTTAGGGGGTGAGAGAATGAAAGGGCGGCAGTTTGAGTACAAACTTGCCATTGCCTTTAAAACAATGCTTATCTGTGCTGAGCAAGTAATGAATGGGGCAGAAGGTTTGTTTTCCAACTAAAATTAGAGTTGAAAGGAAAACGCCCTTTAGATCCCAGAAAGCCATTAGAATGTAATGAGGAACTCAAGAACAGTTATTTGTTTGGCTGCTACATCACTGCCTTCACAGTCCTGGTAAAACTTGATTGATTACTAAACCAACACAGCGGACAAAAGACTGGCAATATGGGTTTGTCTCACAAGTCACTTGTAGTTATTCATGAAGTTCTTTGTTTGAAAAAAAGTCTTCTTGTGTGAATTTTGATACTTTGTGTATAAAAACTGAATTTGGGTCATGCAAAACAACCATGTTCCAAACCACAGTAAATCTACAACGACGCATGACGAAAGCCACATGAAAGAAATGCTGGCACACTAGTGTACAGGAATTGTGCCTAGACAATCACAATACGCACAAATACAAAAGGTTCAGTTTTAGATCTGTGTTCTTGGCAGTTGTTTTGAACTTTGACCTTAAAAATGATGCGCCTTAGAACTATAAGACTCTATTTTTGCTTTGCAGTTTATTTCGAACTGCAAAACGTTTTCCGTATTGGTCACGTCTGTATTGTCTGAAAGGTCAGCCACACATTGAAACACGTCAACGTCAATGAGAAAGGAACAGGGTCTCTGTGTGTATGTTTGTGTTGTTTTCAACGTGGCATAGTACAAAGAAGGCTGGCACCATCTCCGGGTCTTGGCGAAGTGCGTCACTGACTTTGTCCTAAATTGCCCTTTCCTCTAAACACCCGCGTGCTCGCACAAACACAGCCCTAAAACTCAGCTCCCTTATCAAAACGTTCCATTCGCTTCCCTGTAAACATCCTGCAGGAGCAGCAGGTGCACACGCAGATTTTCTGCCCCTTCCCCAATCTCCCTGACAAGACCTCTCCTGATGTTTTGTGTTGTCTGCGCCTTGCAGGCTCTCAGGAATCAGACAGTTCCCAAACTGCTAAGAAGGACATGCTGGCAGCTCTGAGGGCCAGGCAGGAAGCTCTGGAGGAAACGCTGCGACAGAGACTAGAGGAACTCAAGAGCATCTGTATCAGAGAAGCGGTATGAGAAAAATGGCCACAGAATTGGCAAATATTTTTGGAAACTTTAATACTTCCTGGAATTCCCTTTTTTTTTCAACTTTATTACTCTAATGCTTTTGCAGGAACTGACAGGGAAACTTCCAAAGGAATATCCTCTTGATCCCGGAGAGGAACCACCCACAGTGAGACGGAAGATTGGCACTGCCTTCAAACTGGACGAGCAAAAAATCTTACCAAAGGGCGAGGTAATGGCCCAATTCCCAGTTCCCCTCTCCGGCATTTTTTGTCTGTATTGTCCCGATCCTCCTCTTACCAAACAAGCACAATAAAAAGTATAAGATCATAAAGTTAGGTTGGTTTGTTGAAAAAATCCTACAATCTGATACATTTTGCACCTAGAAGAAGTTTAGCTTTTTATTTTGCTTCCTTTTTGTGCCACGGGTAGTTTTTCCAGCAGAGCACAGCTTCTAAATATAGTGTGGCTGCTTTTTAACCACAGGAAGTGGTGATAGTAGGATTGTGTGCGTGCCTGAATGTGCGTGTGTTTCACTGAGTTTGTGTTCTTTGAAAAGAATCCAGGGACACAGTATCACAAAAACCGCCTTCCAAGCAGAAAGATATGTCATAATTTTACACTAAGCACCTTAAACTGTGTACACAGAAATAGAAGCTACTCCAGCGGTGCTGCAAGGTCGCTGTTAGTGAGAAGGATTCTTAAGAACAGATACAGTCTAATATTAAGAGACCCGAAAGGTAATATATCATTATCCTGTCTCTGTTGAGGTAACTGAAATCATATGTGTGTGCTCTCACACTCCAGTGCAGGAGAAAGCTGCTTTGAATCACAAGATGGCAATCCAATTTACCAGTCAGGGCTGTGCAACTCAGACTTTGCATGCACTATGTTTGCGTTTGCATTCATTTACTGTTTTGAATATGTTTTCTTTATTCAACCTGCTCTGTTCTATAAATCCCAGAGAGCTGCTGTGTAGGAGTGGATAGATTGATGCTGGACTGTTTTTATTGGGGGACACTGGGTCTTAATAGAGTGGTGAGAGACTGTGCAGCTACGGCATAGATAAATGATTTCCGCAGTGTGTTTTTACTGGCACGGATATCTCTCTGCGTGTCTGACCGAATGTGTGACATGGGAGAATTAGTATGATTTCGTGTCTGGAAGCGCGGGCTTGTTGCTTTTGGATTTTTCATTTGTTTCTGTTGCTACAACATTGAGGAAATCCAGCACCTGGTTGCTTCTTTTGTATAAAGTTTGCCCTTGTGTGTTTATGCCAGGAGGAGGAGCTTGAGCGCTTGGAGCGGGAGTTTGCCATTCAGTCGCAGATTACAGAGGCGGCCAGGCGTCTCGCCAGCGATCCTCACGTGAGCAGCAAAAAGCTGAAGAAGCAGAGGAAAACGTCTTATCTGAATGCACTTAAGAAGCTCCAGGAAATTGAAAACTCCATCAATGAGTATCGGGTCCGCTCTGGCAAGAAGCCGACGCAGAGGGCGTCGCTTATCATAGAAGGTACCAATTTATGTGGAGATGTACCAGTCAGAGATTTCTTGTCTGTTTTCTGTTCATGAATTTCAATTTGTCTGAAAGAAAAACAGTTTTTTTGTTCCTATTTTTTACATAAAAAGAATTAAGCTGTTCCAACAGTAAAATGTAAAATAAAATATTGCTTGCTGTCCCTGCATCCCCTCTTTCTCTGCATAAAACGAATCCCTACTAAATAAAAATAATAAATCAGCAGTTCACAATCTCTAGCCAATTTCTTAGTGAATCTCTGGTTTTAGCCACAACACTTACATAAGTAGTATTACTCGTTTTATGTTATGTCTCTTCTGTATAAGTAAAACACTCAACATACGTATATATATTTTTCTGTCTTTCTTTCCTGTAGAAGCCAATATATGTTCTGAAGACAGCTCACTATCTGATGCACTGGTCTTAGATGACGGTAAAACTTGATCTTTTCTTGAATGTTATACTTTATCGTAATAATTATTAGAGTGTTGACCTCTCTTTTTTCATTTCAGATGATCCTCAAGTTACAGGTACCCCAACCTTCTCTCCTGTAGCGTCGCCTCATAAAGGCCTCCCTCCGCGACCTCCCTCTCACAGCCGGCCTCCTCCCCCGCAGTCCCTGGATGGACTGCGACACATGCACTACACTCGCTCTGACTATGATAAATCTCCCATCAAACCCAAGATGTGGAGCGAATCGTCACTGGATGAGCCTTACGAAAAAGTAAAGAAGCGCTCTTCTCACTCCAGGTATTCCAACTCTCCTTTTTGTTTGGTAAGGTTTGATGAAGTGTCCACACTCCTTGAATCTTGCTATATGTTTGTGAGCCGACATATTTGTGACATAGAAGGAAAAGCATCCATATGTTTTCAAGTTTTTAAAAAGTAAAAAAAATAAAATAAAATACAATGTGTTACAGGTAATATTTGGTCTGCTTTATTCTGATAACCCGAAACAAAATCCAATGCAAGTGGACAGAGCTAGAAGCAGAGGAAGAAAACCTGTTAGGGTCTACAAAAGACTGGAGTGTGAGGCAGCGGCTCACCTGTCAGCTGGACATTGAGCCTAAATATGGACTGGTTTAGACTAAACTAGATTCACATGTTAGATTTCACAGATGCTCTCCGTTCAGTTTGGCCAAGCTTGAGCTGTTAAACAATGAACAATAGGCAAGAGTTTTGGTTTCCAGATGTGAATGCAAAAGGCTTCAAACTGTAATTCCAGCAAAAGTTGGTTCAACAAAGTGTTGACTCCAGGACGGCAGAAAACTGATTACTATTGCACATTAGTTGGTAATAACGTTTTTGAAATAATTAATACTTCTTCTTTCATTTCACAATTATGTTTCTCCTATCAGAAAAAAATACCAATAAAATACAATAAGATTTGTGTCTGTGACGTCACAAAATATGCCTGTGCATGGGACTGAGTTCTGTATGTTAAATGTAAACACCTTTAAAGCAAACAGATGCACACAACCCATGCATGCGTGATATAAAATACCGTCTTTCCCTTCTGTTCAGTCACAGGCGTTTTCCAAGTTCTGGGAGTGCAGAAGCAGGGGGCAGTAACTCCCTTCAGAGCAGCCCGATCAGAAGCACACCTCACTGGAACTCTCAGTCCAGCATGCCGTCGACACCGGACCTGAGAACCAGAACCCCACACTATGTACATTCCACCAGGTCAGTCAGCATGAGTCTGAAACCTAGACAGAAAACCTCTGGACGTTGAAATGTCATTTGTGACCTTTTCTTGACCTTCGTTTCACAGGTCAGTGGACATCAGTCCCACCCGTCTGCACAGTCTCTCTCAGCACTTTAGGAACCGCAGCTCCAGCCTCGAGTCCCAGGGCAAACTGCTGGCGTCCGACCCCGATGCACATCCGCACACCCTGGGCAGTCCCGACTTTTTCCTTGGCCCGGGACGAGGCTCCAATGGCTCCGACCCACTGGATGACTGTTCATCCTGCACCAGCCAAAGCAGCTCAGAGCATTATTGTCCCTCCGGTGGACCCCCTGGCAGCAACCCCAACTACTCCACTCTGGGAGAGGACTCGCCCTCCAAAGCCAGGCAGAGGCAACGGCAAAGGCACAGGTGAGGGCCAGGCTGCTAGTTTTTATGATTATCTGTTCAGTTGATCAAACTCTGTCTTAATTAAGGCAAATGTCAATATCTTTTCCCCACAGGTCTGCTGGTCAGTTGGGTTCCTCGAACTCGGGCTCTATGCCAAATCTGGCAGCTAAGAACGGCTCCGTTGGAGGTTCGGGTGGAGGTGGGATCGGAGGTGGGCATCATGGAGTTTACCTCCACAGCCAGAGCCAGCCCTCCTCCCAGTACCGCATCAAGGAGTACCCTCTGTATGTGGAGGGCAGCTCCAACGGCGTCGTGGTGCGCAGCTTGGAGAGCGACCAGGAGGGCCACTACAGTGTGAAGGCCCAGTTTAAGACCTCCAGCTCCTACACGGCAGGCGGACTTTACAAGGAGGCCTGGGGCGGGGAGGAGGGCGGGGAGGGAAGCGGCCGTCTCACGCCATCTCGGTCTCAGATCGTACGGACTCCATCGTTAGGGAGAGAGGGTGGTGGAGGAGGGGGGAGGGCAGCGGTGTCTGAGGAGCTGCGCTGTTGGTACCAGAGGTCATCAGGGAGCCTAAAAGAAAGAAGCCACTCACATTCAGGATCCACATCTTCTGATACTGGGTCACAGCAAGGCACTCTGGGACATGGACGGGGGAGCAGAGTTGGATCACTCGCCAAGGGCTCACCAGGTATCCTTTCAATTATTTTTTATTAAACTCTATATATCAGTGTTAACAGACCATCAGCTGTTTCCCATTACAGAAAAAAGAGTCAGTTTTATTCAGCCTTGCTGTTAAGGACAAGTAAACATGATGAGGTATATAATAAAGACTGATCGACAAATTATGACTTGTTTTCTATTCTTCTCCTACAATTTAAAAAAGCGATTTAGAGTTAGAACAAATTTATTTTAATTTGCTTTATGGGTGACTACATTTTACATTTCAAGAGAGGAAGGTCAGTTTATCCATTATCTTCTCCTCATCCTGGAGCTGATCACGGGGGTAGCAGCCAAAGCAGGGAGACCCAGACGTCCCTCTTCCCAGTCCCTTGAGCCAGATCCTCATGAGGAATCCCAAGGCGTTCCCAGGCCAGCCGAGAAACATAGTCCCTCCATCTGTGTCCAATTGTCCCTGGGATTCCTCTGGATCTCCATGCGGTGCCCGGAACGCCTCACCAGGGAGGCATCCTAACCAGATGCCTGAGTCACCTCAACTGGCTCTTCTCGAGGAGGAACAGCAGCTCTACTCTGAATCCTTCCATGATGACCGAGCTTCTCACCCTATCTCTGAAGGAGAGCTAGGACACCCTGTGCAAGAAACTCATTTCAGCCGCTTGTATCTGCAGTATCATGTTTTCGGTCACAACCCAAAACTCATGTCCATAGATGAGGGTAGAAACGTACATCGACCGGTAGATCGAGAGCTTCACGTTTTGGCTCAGCATCACTGCAGACGCCGCGATCTACCTGCTGATCTCCCATCGCATTTTTCCCCTTATTCATGAACAAGACCTAGAGATATGTGAACTCCTCCACTTGAGGCAGGACCTCTTCCCTAACGCAAAGAAGGCCGTCTACCATTTTCTGGCTCAACACCATGGTCTTGAATTTGGAGGCACTGATCCCCATCCCGGCCGCTTCACACTCAACTGTGAACTGCTCCACTGAAAGCGGAAAAGATGAACATTCAATGAGTAAAATATTAAATGTAACAATATTTGAACAGTTAGACTTTGAAGCTGTGACATTGTTGGCATGATACAGGAAAGCAAATAAGCAGAAATCTGGTTATTGAAACGTCACATTAGAGTCATCTGACAGTAGGGACGAAGTGAAAAACAGCATGGTACAGAAAATAAAATAAAAATGCATACTTGCAATTCAACAATTATAAACTTACAAACTATATCAACATTTGTGCACTAGCTCTAATTTTAATCTGGTTTTAAAACTTGTCTTATTGTTTAGTCTGCACATTTAAAATGATAATAAAAAAGAAACTATCAGAAGCAGCGTTAATTAGGTATGCATAATATCGAAATACATAAATTTACCAAAAATAGTAGAATACAATTTTTCCCTTTTTCATTCCATTTTTCAGTGTCGAAAAAGGACTGAAATTCATATTTAGGCTTTTTTTATAAGCCATATAAAATGTAGTTCCCAAACAAGAACCTGGCAGACGATACCACAGGCCAGTAGCATGACCTCATTTAACAAGCCAAAGAGATAAAGATTTTTTTACTCGAGCTGATCTAAGTTAGCGCAGATGCCCGAAATGCAGGGAAATTACCCTGCAAGACAAACAAAAAATCGGGAATTTTTTCCTCCGACCGACTCCAGAGGCAAAATGCATTTGTCACACTGAAACCACATCCCTCAGCCCCACATGTGAAGCATAGCTGGAATTCCTTTTGTCCCTCACCCCCCTTTTGTCACCTTTACTCGTGTTGCTTGACTTAACTGTCGGCTCTCCCTTCAGCTGCTTCCCCTCACAGCCAGAGGAGCCTGACGCCATCCAGTGAGCACCCAGCCACGCCCACACCGCCCTGTAGCCCACAGCACATCATCAACTGGAAAAGCGGGTAAGAAACACTCGCAGAGTCTCAGGAGGGCACCAGAAAGATTTAGCTTCTGTGTCTTCATCTTTGTCCAAACTCGACCCGAAACACGCTCACAAGCTTTGGTTCTGTTTCTGTTTTTTTTTTGTTTTTGTTTTTTGTCAGCTGTTGTTTTCACATCACACTCTATGTAATTTTGGTTGTTTACAAAGCTTTTTCTAACTCCAGCCAATTTAATATGTCTTTTTTGGCATCTTCATTGCTACGTTTCTTTTCCTTCTCTCAATCTTTTTCATTTCTCAATCATATCCCCCTCACTCTGCTGGGCATCTCCTTTTGGACGTCCATCCCATCACTTAATATTTGTCATCTCTCTCTTGTTTGTCTTTCTGTCTTTACTAACCCCCCCTTTTCCTTATGTGTGTGTCCTCTCTCCTGGTTTAGAGGCACAGCAGACAGCTCTCCTACTGAGGACGTCTGTCAGTCTCCCCCTCAGCCCAGCTCTGATGCATAGAGGTACCGTGTAGCATTGGTAGTAAAACATAGCAATAGCAAAAGAGGATTTTGGTAGTACCAAATTTTCTAGGAATCAGGCAGATAGTTTAGATCAGATATTAGAGATGCACCACTGTACATTTTGTAACCAATCTATAGATCTCTTTTTTTTTTTTTATAAAGACTTGGCACACTAGTACCAAATGTAGCTGAAAAAAATACTTTTTCTAGCTTAACTGCTGTATGTAGTTATTACTTAAATTCATCTTATCTATATGGAGCCTAATTAAAATTATATCCAGTTATATGGAAATATAAAATTAAATAAATCCAGTTATATAAACAGTTTTAAATTGAGATAGTTACTCTCCATATAAATGCAGTGGTCTTAGTTAAAATACATTGTGGTCAATATAATACTCCCACTTAATATAAAATATATTGTACCTCATGCAACCGCTGACTTTAGTTTAGGACCAAAGGCAACTTCACATCCAAGCGAGTCCCCATAATCCCTACTGGGTTGACTTATTAAAATGACTTCAGCAATTTATGTTACCAGTGCTTAATTTATAATGATCCTTTAGGTATTTATTGTGATACCAATGAAGAGGATTAAAAAAAAAACAATTACAGTTTATTTGGCTATAAAGGCATAACTGCAACCCGTCAGAACCTCACAAAAAAGTGTTGCTCATAAAAGAAAATTGTTTCCGCTTCGCTTCTCACCAGTAAAGGCCGTTCAATGCAACACCACTTCCTGGTGCATCTCTACGTGATATACTGATAGTTAGAGTTCTGTGAACAGAGCCCTTCCTTATTACCCACAATAGGGGCTGACAATTGGAAGAGTTTACTTCTCTTGCCCTGTATTGATGGTGGTAATGCATGCGTGTTGTGCTGTTTCTGTTTCTGTACTTGATCTTTGCATGTGCTCAGCTGTGCTCTGACTGTGATGCTTCACTTTGGTTAACTACTCACAGGATTTATTCATAAAATACATAATGGTGCACTGCTATCCAACATTAAACATAGAAACTCAGAAACCTGCTAGTCATTTTAGTATCTATAAAGTCTTCTCTGCAGTCAGTGATCCTGTTATTTCTTCCTCTGCAGGTCTTTCAGTGACAGCTTTTTTCTCAGCAGCCCCTTGTGTTCAGAGCTGGCAGATGTGCAGTGGTACGGAAAAGACAAGACCAAACCCGGAACGTTGGTCTGAGACCTTCCCGTATGGCCTACAAACAACCTGTTCTCTACTTTGTCCCTCACTGCTACCCGTCGACAACCACACACCTCATCCAGCCCAGACCTGACTCCACGCAAGCCTCTTCTGTCCCTGCCTGAGTTTCACCGCCTGCTTTCATGGCCTACCTATCAAGAGCGTGAAAGGACAGAGCACAGAAGAATATCAGAAACACAATAAACCCAACATCAGCTTGTCCGCATCCTGTTTCATATCACATCCTGCATCGCTCCGGTGCACTGCCACTCGGTCAGAAGATACATGCTGGATTTGAGCCACCGGTTTAAAAGGCATTTATAGCTGTCAATGAACTGTATTTCATTGCATTGTACCCGTAGACATTGTTTCTTTTATTTCTTTAATCATACTTACAAAAGCAGAAGATTTCAGACATGTGCAGGTTTAACTTGTAACATAATTCCCTGATGGTGTTATAACAGAAGAGTAAGTTAGCAATATGTGAGTGAACTCTTGGTAACCATATTAGATGGCTTTCCTTGACTGAGAAGGTTATAGCAATAAAGAACACTGGACAAGGTTTTTAATTGGTTTTAATCAACAGAGTGAAGCTGAAACAGGCCTTTTCCTTAAAGCTTTAGTGTTGGTAGAATTTGGAGTGGATCTTTTTTGGATATGATCTTGATCTGCAGTTCATTGGACCTGAAGTTTGGTCACAAGATTATCAACCGCAGAGCAGGAACATAGAGGTGCATCTCAATAAATTAGAATATTGTGTAAAATGGGTTTTTCCGTTCAGTAAATTTCATTTAAAAAATTTAAACTCATCGATTCGTTACAGACCTGTTATGGTATTGTTAGTTTTGATGGTTATGGCTCACAGCTAAGGATGCAATTCACACCAGCTTTGTTTAATCCACTTCATTTGAACTCTAGTTCGTTTGCCTGGAAAGTCCGGTTTGCTTAGGTGTGAATGTGCAGTTGAAGTCCGACGCGGACCAAAAACACAACCTGTGGTCCACCTACAAACCTAGATCTCAGTTTGATTGAAGTGAACTCTGGAGCGGCTCCGCTGTACATGTGGATGCAAGCGGACCGGAGTTTGCTCCAAAAGCAGGAAGCAGACTATCATGCCGGGCATTCTGGGTAAATACAAACAAAAAAAAATGTCTAGTCTAACGCAAGCGGAAGAACCGGCTCGTGCTCTATTGCCAAAGACACAATATAAATCCTACAACTGCTAAAATCTCACACCACCACATTTTTGTTTAGATTCCACCAGGAAGGAGATTGCGCTAATGTCTTCTTCAGAGGTTTTCATGTTGTTTCCTTCATGTTCCTTCATGCAAGAACAACATGAAGGTTTTTCAAAGGGTTTGGATCATTTGACACTGCAGGGGGGAAGCGAACTGCACAAGCTGGAAATGAAACAAATGTTGCAATTTTAGTCCCCAATCGAACCGAGTCTACCAGACTGTCAGGGGTGAAAACACCATAATGGAAACTTTGGGGTCAAACTAAGAAGGGATTTTAAATACAGCACTATCAGCCAACTAAAAGGTATGTCTATTTACTGTACAGTATCTTCACTCAGTCCTTGGTCAGTTCTCATGTAGCCAGATTGCTTAAATAGGTCTTGGTTGGTGTCTGTCATCTTCAACCTTGACAATACTCCTTAGACTTTCTGTGTGGTTTAGATCCAGAGAGTTTGCTGGTGAATTAAGTATCACATTTACTAAAGCAGGTATTGGTACTTCTGGCAGGTGCTGAGTCCCACTGGACAAATGAAATCAGAAAAACAGGAGGTGCTCTGAAGTTTCCTGGTAGATGTCTGTGCCGACTTAACTCCAGCAGAAAACATGGCTCCCAAAATCATCACTGACTGTGGAAACTTCACAACAGACCCTGAGTTGGATTTCACGCTTCTCTACTCTTGCTGAAATGTAATAGCTTTTCAATAATAATATGTTTCATTGAGATGCACCTGTATGCGGTCAGAGCACAGGATTTATTGGAGACGTTGTTGTGGCTACATCCAGTCGCAGACGCGGCAGTGTTTGGTTTTAGTTCTGTTTTTTTTCTGGTTTTCCACCTTTTAATTTATCATCACCTCTCAGTGACGTGTAACTGTTGAAGTCTGTTTGTTCAACCTTAGAGTTTCATCTTGAAGCTGCTCAGTGACTGTGGTGAGCTGTTTTTTATGCTGTTGCCTCTATCTTTTTCCACCAGTTTTAGTTCGAACCGGTTCTGCTGAGTGACCGGCAATCCCTTTACAGTGCTGTGTTTTCTGCCCATCCTCTGAGCAAGCTCCACAAAACTGGTGCTCTGCATTTGTACTGTAACATAATGAACCTATTTCAGACTTAAGACATACTCCATCCAGTGTTCACACTCTAAAGCCATTCCATTAAGCAGCAGCCAGGAAACAGTCAACCAATTGAACTTGTTTATTTAAACATACTGTTGATTGAAAGCACAACATTTACAGTATATTTAGGCTGGACCTGCAGTTACTGTGGTCTCTTTGCAAGTGTAACCATTAACGGTTTGGTCAGAAAAGGCCACACTTTTAATTGTGAAGAGGAAGATATGGCCGGAGGGCAGAGAAGTTTGTAAATCCTTATAATTCTTGTCCCACATAATCCAAATCAGACCTTCAGAATAAGGTTAGAAAAGCACACCTGGTCTTTAAACCAGTTTCCTCAAGTGTCGCCAACAAATCCCGGTGGTGCAAAATGATTCCCTCTATTGTTTGTTGTAGCACAAAACTGTAATTTATTAACTGTTTTATTTTACAAATATGACCATCACATGAATATGATTTAACCCTATTGTTCAAGTAACACTACAACAAGGATTTGTGAATGGTATGAATCCAATTGTTCCCACCATAATAACCTTTGTTATAAGTGGCCATAAGCACTTAAGAAAAACTTCTAACATTGTTTTGCAAGGAGGTGCAGCCCACTCCCTAAGTGCATGTCTACTCCTCCAAGAGTAATCCTTCCTTCGTCAATTTTAATACGTCTTTATGCAAGATTAGAACCAGCAATCTAGTTTACCATCTGATAGGAATTCATCTTAAGAGGTTTGATTTCTCCCTACTAATGTCTTAGGATTAGTTTGTGTGCTGAAGACCTGGCTCGTGCATGCAGACCCACAGACAAAAGACCTCAAATGCCGCACCATTTTTCCTCCAGCTAAAATGAACTGTCATTGTTTAATGGAGTTGTTCAGACCCCCACAGAACTGATCCTATTATAATCTCTGAGCTCATTGTAAACCAGTGTGAAAACCTTCTGTAGTCCCAAAAAGCAAACTTTTCCTGCTCCGTGATCATGTATGAAGAATTTTGTAATACTCCAACCCTGTGGAGTTTTTTTTTTTTTTTTTCATGTATGTTCAGAGGACAGCTGTTAGGGTCGATGGGATTTTTTTTTTAACTCACATTCATTGTTTTAGCAGCATTAACATTTTATATCAGCCAGTATGTCTTTTTTCCAACACTAAGAAACCCTTTCAGGTGCTACAAAACGACCAGTTACTGCTTTGTCTCGTAGGACCTCTAGACATCTCTCCGTTCTTACCGATACTTGCAAAATGAATTTATTTTAACCGGCAGTTTAATATTAGATCACCTCCTCAACCAGACAGTAGAGCATGTAACTTGAGTTGATCGGTTCTCTTCAGCTGTAATATTACATTAAAGGCGTTGTAGAAAAAAAAAAAAAAAAGGGGAATTGATTTAAAAACAATAAAAAAAAACTGAATTCCACAGTTAATTTATTCTTTTTTTTCTATTAAGAATTTGTATAGTAACTTTACATTTTGCAAAACTGTGTTGTTGGAAATTAATGATGAATTTTCAAGATGAGAAGCTGTGGTGGTTCTTGAGAGTAAGAAAAATAAATTATTGATGAATGTTCTCAAGATGACGTCTCTGTGTGTGTCTGTTCTTTTTACTTAGTGTGTATTTATAAAATATCTTCAGGGAGACCTTAACTAAGAAGTCGCACTTCTTAATAAAGGTGATCCCAACATGAATTCGCCCCTTCCAGTCCACCAGACACGCTCACTCTCGTGTCATCACGTCCAGGCTGGCTGCAGTCACTTCCCTCTCGCAGGATTTCCTACTGAGTCACAGGAAGAACCAACATAAAAGACGTGACTCTGCAGACCACAGAGCATTTCCACTTCACTCTCTTTTCACTCTGCTATGTGGATGTCAACAGCTTATTATCGTTAGACCTCACGTGAGCAACAACTGCGCAGGTTTTAAAATTGTCGTCCATTATTCTTCCCGAACTTCCTGAAGCTCAGTCAGATTGAATGAAAACATCTGTGAGCATCAGATTTCCAGTGTGATTAGCACCAAGTGGCATGCAGATGAAATTATTTATTTTTGTCTCACTGTCTGACTTTTAGCAAGACAAATCATTTCCTGTTTTAGGCAAGTTAAAATTACCACAGTTGGTGCAATGCGCCTAATGCCATGATAATTACCGGGAACAGTTTAAGAAGGTTTTATTTGCTGACTTCAGTTATAAGTTTACCTACACTAAGACAATTAAACAATTAGAGGCTTTACCATCTGTTGATAGGTAAATTTGAAGCATTTCAGACAATGGGAGGCGCACTTTTGGACGTATTTTAAAAGGACAGTATTTTGTGTTGATTGTGCCATTTTATAGCATAATCAACTATGTTAACTTCAGCTGTTAAAAAATTGCTACATATCAAATATAACTTAAAGGAAATTTTACTTGGTAATTTCACCTCTTGAAATTGGGCCTCTGTCACTTTAAAAACTCTTGCTCTTTCTGAAAATACAAAAATTGTAGAGTTTGTCCATAATGACCATTTGGGACAGGGGGAGGAGACTGGGAGTAAAATGCTGTGGGACTTACTGCTGGAGGAGAAACTGGTGCATTTCACAAAATACACACAGACATAAGAGAAATGTGATCAGGAAGCAACATATTAAGACATTAGCCAGGAAGTTAAAGATTGGAAACAAGTGGGTCTAGATGGACCATGACCCTAAGCATGACCCCTGTGACGGAGTGGCCATCAAAAAGTCCTGATTTTACTTCCATGGAGGTTTATGGGTAATTATGTGAACATTTGAATTTGAAAGTTTAACAGAATTTATCTCATTAATCACATATAAATAAATGTTGGTAATCCTACACTGACCTAAACAAAAAGAAAAGCTTCGACTGATTTAATGTCATATAGTGAGAAAAAATGGCATTGCGTGTTTTCGAGATAGTGTGTATGAACTTCTGTGTTTCTAGACTTTGACAGGGCCATTCTAAAACATGAATATCTGAACCACGCCATGGTAACTGTGGTTGCTCAACGGTGAATCCCTGTCCCGTGCGCAAGCCATTTGTAGCCCTAAATTATTTTCTTCACTTCTATCCGTCTTCTTATCAGATTTGACCAACTTTACCGTCTCCAGTAGAGAAAAGCATTCCTCCCATCATGATGCTGCCACCAACATGTGGGGATTTTGTGTTCAGGATGATTTAGAGTTAGTCTTCCCACAATTCTAAAGCAACAGATTGAGGTTGGCATTTTATTCAGATTTTTTTATTTCTAAACAAAAAAAGTTTAAACCACCCACTTCACAAGTTTGAGTACACTGATGTTTGTGGTGGTAAAATGAAAAAAAAAAAATGACAATATGAAATTCTTTAAGGGGTATGAACACTTTTGCTGCACATCAACTCCTCATCCTGCTTTGGTTTGTACTACGGTTTTGTGTCCGTCTATGCATTAATCCCATCTTTCTCTTTGTACTCAGTGGGTTCCCATTGCAGCTCTCCCAAGCAAGCAACAGCTGGAAGCTGTTAGTCAGACATGTCGTGAGAAAGTAGCTGCACTCTGATTTTTTTTTTTTTTTCACTCATATAAGTCTGTGCATATCGCTGGGTGTATGTGGGTGTGTGTGCATACTTGCTACATGAATGGTCTGTGACCTTGTTATGTGCTCTTAATGAAATCCCCCATCACCGAAATGCTCAAGCACACCACACCCTTCACTACATCTGCAGCTTTACCAACTAATGTATCGCGAATTTCCGATGCAGATGTCTTCAAGTTTGACAAAAACATTGAGTATAAGCCCGTCCACTGGTTGTTTTGGGTTTTATTTAGAAGATTTAGACCAACTTTGCCATTTCAGCTTTTGCACTTGCTCATCATTTTTTTCTTCTTACACATGAATTCAGTTGAAGGTTTTGAAATAAAAGTTTAGTTAGAAAGTATGAAAATGAACCTCGGTATCTACAACATCATCAATGCTGCCCTCTAGTGTCAATATCAAATACAACGTTTCGGGAAATGAAAGCAATTTCCACACTTGCACCGTCCTCAAAGAATTAAACGGATATTTTAGCGACAAAATCAGCACACACATTTCATTTCATAACCTGTTTATGATTTGAGATGAATTTGCCTTGAAGCTTAAAGTTCTTGATTTCTTCGAGAATCCCAGAGGAGAGGTCTGAAAATATCAGACCTCAGTTAAATTTAATTTAACTTTTTTATGTCCAGATGGTACAAAAGATATAGTGCAACAATAACTTAGTTTACAAATGGTATGCACATAAAACTAATTTAAAGATATTTCATTACATTGAGTTTTACAGATTCGGGTCTTCTTGTTCCGTCAGAAGCCCATTCGTGTCCTCTGGATCCTGTTAAGAAAATTGATCAAAACCACATCGTGATCAACGGTAAAAAAAAGTCCAGAAGTGCAACAAATCAGCTACTTTTTAAATGAGTATTCATATGCATAACACTGAAATAAAATGAATGACTTCTTCCTCACTGAGTGGTCTGTTAGCCCATGCGGCACAGTATTCACTTCAGGTCGGAAAAGAACCTGTTAGCAGTTATCAGACTAAATGACATGTAGTCAGGTTTGCGTCTTTTTACTCAGTGTTTAAACATGTCTGGTTTCCACTGTAAGTAAAACGTACTTTGGTTCAGGAGACATTTGTACCTGTGAGATGCGGATGTAGGCCTTAACGTTGCGAGAGCTGTATCGGCGCAGACCTCTCCAGCACAGGAACAGGATGTAGAGTGTTCCCAGAAAACACAGGGAAGTGAACGCTATGTAGCTCGCCTTTGCAACATTTGAACCAGCCTTCTTATCACATGAAAACAGGAAGGGGACAGAGAATGGGAAATGTCACAATCTCATTGATTACAGGAACATTAACAGTAATTCTGCAGATTGTACCTGCTGGTATGAGCTCAGGTCTGCAGCTTCCACTGATGCGAGGCTATTGGCCAGCAGAGCAGCAAATCCAAACAGCAGACTGAAAACGTTCAGCGCCATGAGAATGATGATCTGTTTGGAGTGAAAAAGCAAGTCAAAAAAAGCTCATGATAAAAACTCTAACATATAATTAAATAATCTGTTTACCTTTACGTTACTAGCCTTCCTCTGAACCTCCACTGCCAGGCACCCAGCAGCTGCATACTGTAACGTCACCAATAGTTAGATTTGACGTCGCTCTCTCAAGTTCAGGTGCCCTTAGTGAAAACGTTGTAAAGTAGAAGCTGACTTACTGACAAGCTTGACCAGACTGGAGTTACCATGACAACAGAACAGCCGTAACTCACACACGCATGGCTCACTGTGGCCAGAACGCTAGCCAAGGCGCTGAGGACCTGAATCACCTTAAGAAAACCAAGGAAATGAGCCAGACGTTTACATACACTCATCACAGGTAGGCATTTCAAATCAATTTGAGCTTTTAAAGACATTTCTGTTCTGTTCAAAGAGATTAACGTCATTTAATACATTTAAGGCTTGCCTCTTCTCTTCAATAAAAGACGGTGTTGATGTGTGCTTTCAAGTCATTGTCTTGTTAGAACACATAAGTGAGTCAACTATCTAAACCAAGCAAGTAACCAAGGAGCAGTGCAGCCATCACCCTGGTGAAAAGGCAATGCAAGATGGTGGAACAACAGTGTTACTGTCCACAGTAAAACAAGTTTAACCCCAACCTGGACAGAGAGAGTGTTGACTAAGAAAGAAGCTCCCGCTCCAAAAGGTGGAATTAAACTTCTGGATAATTGTTTTAAGTAACGGAAGACAAAACAGACATTCGGTCACTATGAATTGAGCCAAAAGGAGGTAACATTATGCACAGCATTTGTTCTCGATGCTAATGTTACTGGTGCACTCCACAGATTGAATGGAGTGACGAAGGTGAACAAGCTTTAAAATGTTACGCTTCCCTTCAAATCAGTGATTAGATGACTGAAACAGTAGGACAACGACCCAAGGACACATCAGGAGCATTACTATGCTGGACAAAAGCAGGTGAAAGTGGCCTGGACTGGCCTGAACTTAAACCCAGGTGAAGATGTGAGGATTATTCCTGAAAGTAGGGCCTGTGCCTTGAAACCAGACAATTGAAATGACTTCTAACGTTTTTTTTTTTTGACAAGACGAATGGGTAAATAAAAAATAAATATCTATTCAGATATTAGTTTAATTTTGACTCATAATTTAGAGTTGTGCACCAGGTTTTTATTGTTGTTGTTGAAATGCATCTTTTTAAAAACTCCAAATTAAGACGATGTCCCTGATGAACTTCTCATTTGTACTGTATTTTGGATGAGCAGAAAAAGACGACACCTTACCCCAGTGACTAAAAGTCTTGTGTTTACCACAGTCCCAAACCAACGATGAATCCTAACGTTTGTCAGCTCCTCATTATTGGTGTTACTGGTCTCAGTGGGGGGACTGGCTGGAGGAGTCTCCTTGAAAAAAACATGGTACAACCCCTCCTGAAACATGTTCTGCATCATCTGTTGTGGATGAAAAGAACATTAACAGGGTCAAAATCTTTTAAAAATTAAGGTAACAAATGACACTTTTCACAATTCTCCACACCTAATTTACCTTTTTTTTACTAACTTACCTTTGCTGAAAGTTGTTCCCTTTTATTCATTTCTTGCACAGGTCTTCATTTCAAAATAAAATATCAAATAACAAAAAAAGAATGGAGAGACAACCAAAACCTTTTCTCATTGTTTCTATAAGTCCTTGGTGTGGCACAGCGCTGAGGACTTTTGGTGTCAAAGTTCATCTGAGTTGGAAGATAATGAATGACTAAAGTTCATTCTTAAGACGGAGGTTCAGGACAATCATTGGTCAGGAATCAGGCTTGTCATCAGTATAAAGGGCGGGATTACTCAAGCATCGGAGTCTTGGTTTCAATTATGGCGTATTTTATTTATGCATCCAAATTTAAAGTACAAAGATTCAAAAATGTAGCAAAAACTTTGGTTCACATAATTCTATGAACCCAATAAAGGTCAAGATCTTGTAGGAGAAATCAAATGAATATCCTGCAGAAGCTCAAGCTGCCATTCTTTAATCACCTGTACAAGTTAAATAATGTTATTTCTTTCACATTTTCAGTCAACATTGGAGCCGCAGTAGAATGTCTAAAGAGGATGCAAAGCCCTGCTCTAAACTATAACATAAATCCTCATTAAATACATGGAAATTTGAAGCTGCCCTGTGGTAAAATTTAAAAAACTTCAGGGTATAAATATTTTCCCAGAAAACTTTAAATCACATTATAACTTAAAAGCAGTAAACAGGTATAAAAAAAACAACTGTAAATCAGAAGTGCATCAAAAACAATCAAATATAATTTCTGTTTAAATATTATTGTCAAATAATTCAGGAATAGCACACACAAAGCTAACAGAAAAAAAAAGAGTACAGCCTCTGTAAGAAATAAAACACACATGGTGGCAGAAAAAGGCCACCGATCATTCCCAGGGCAGACAGCTGTAAGTTTAGATGACCTCCACATATATTTGGGCATATCAGACCCACTCTGATTTTCCTGGCAGTGTTTGGTTGTCATCGTCTTCCTCCTCTCTTCCCTTAGCGTACAGGTCTGCCAGTCTGCCGAAGCGTGGCCCCCACTCATTCAAACTCTGAAAATCCTGATCCTCGTCCGAATCTGAAGACTGAATGGAGCTGAGAGAATCCGCCTCGGAGCCTCCACCCTCATAGTCGAACACGAGAAGAGAGTCATAGGGAGGAGCTGCAGGGTCTCTGTTTGCCACTTGCAGGTTCTGGACAAAGCATAACAATGACAGATATAGATTCAGGATGCATTGAATGTTTTCGGGAACTATGAAGCAATTCTAATGTGCTGTATTTCGATCTTTTGATGTCTCACATGTTCAATAAAGTTGCAAACTTCCTCGTTGGCTTGGATTTGCAGACGGTACCCTGGTTGAGCCTGGACAGTGGGAAACACGTCTGTGCTGAAGACTTCAGGTCGGTTGTCCAGCCCTCTGTGCAACTGGGACAAATCATAGTCCTGCAAAAAAAAAAACAGGATTGCAACTTTCGTTGCTTCACATTGGGACACAAACTGCTCTTCGTAAGTCTTACACTTAGATTAATCTGTTCTAATATAAGATTTTTTTAATGCAGAAGTCAGCTGAAATATTTAATTGCGGATAGTTAAGTAAGAATGAGCCATTCCAAACACTGTAAGTAAAAGTGGAAATACTTTTGTCACACACAGATGAAAAAAATGACAACCTGTGAGGTATTATAATTCACGGATGTCAGAGTTAAAGGAGGTTGTATGCACATGTTTGGCACACTTTAGATTGAATGTATAAAATATAATTAGAACACCATTTCCCGTTCCTTCTATCAACAATTGTGCACTACTTTGTGTCAGCCTTTCACATCAATTTTAACTAAAGTACATTTAGGTTTGTGGATGTAAGATGACAAAATGGGGGCAAAGTTCAATGGGTGCGAATACTTTAACAAGGTCCTTTATGTATCTCAAAACATTTTGTCAACTTAAAGGCAAATGTGCACTGTTCCGCTGCCTCTCCGCCTACCCTGTCGTCTTCACCTCCTCCCTCCTCGCTGTAGCAGATGACGTCATCACGGGTCAGATCTTCCAGGAGAGGGGCCTCCTTTCCTGCCCTCCTCCTTCTGCTGACCAGCAGCAACAGGAGCAGCAGGAGTAGCACTGCAATCGAATGCAAAGTAAGTCACAAAAGACAAAACAGATGAAGTTATTTTAAGGATAAGATGGCCACCTACACAGAAGGCCAAAAATAGATCCCAGTAGGGGGGTTGCAAAAGAAGGGATGCTTTCACTCCTCAGCAAGCAGACATCTACTCCCCCTTTACAGTGGCACACCTCTACGGTCAGCGTACTGTCTTTGTAGAGACCCCCAACATCATAAATCCTCATGGTAACATTATAGTTCCCAGGAGATAGGTTTTGTTTGGGGTAAAGAGCTGCCACATTGCCTAGGAGGAGGAAACAAAATATAAACTTTACAACACTTTAGTTTTGGATCACTAGTTAGCTGTCTGAAAACAGAGTTTATCCACATAACACTTCATCAGCATCTCAGCCACTTTACTAGTAGAATTGGTTTTGAGAATCCAGTTCTTCTTGTGTCCTCCTATAAGCTCCACGGTAAATGGCCCAGCATGACCCGGTCCATCCAGATCCACTATGTCCAGGAGTGCAGGAAAAGGGTCAGAGTTGCACAGAGTGGCAGTTGTCTGCCTGACCACCGGAAGATGGTCATTCACATCCAACAAACTCACAACCAGAGTACCGGTTCCTGTAGCTGGAATTAGATCTGTAGGAGTTAAGAAAGTTGTTTTCAATTTGTTCAGCAGAATTAACAAAGTGATGGTTCAGTAAAAACAATAAAAGCTTTAATTTACCGTCATCATAAGCCAAAACTAAGACGGTATATTTGTTATCCCTGACGTATTGCGACTCTCGGTCCATGCTGCTCACAACTTTAACTGATCTGGTGCTGTGGTTGGTGCTCAGCCACTGGGCGCTGTCATTGTAGAGTTTGTATCTGAAATCAAGACAAACAGCTTGATTACTAAACGTATATAAAAATTTCCATTTCAAAAAGAGACCAAATATTTATGTAGGAAAAAGTGTGCAGCTTTTTCCATTTAAGACTTAAACAGGACTGAATTTTTACAATAAAAAAAAAAAGCCTGAGAATATTTTTTGTCTTAATTGTAGTTTATTAATATTAACATTATTTAACATTATTATTTAAAGTAGTAAAGTAATTTATTATAAGGTATGCCTTTTCACCAGTCATTTACTTTTCAAGCTACTTTTACTGTATATTCATCATATAGTTCTGCTAGTTCAAGAGCTTATTTGGAATATGCATCATGTCTATTTGATTAAAAACAATAATTTCCCTTTTTTTAGTTCCGTTTTTGAAAGTACTTTATAGCTTTACAATAAAAATACGGAACACCTTTACAAAAAATACAAACATTTTATAACACCATTGGTAAAACATGAACCAACTTTCCCAAATATTAACGCATACATTAAAATAACTGTACAATAAACCTTTGTAGTTGCTTCATGTCAAAGAACAAAACTAAACAAACCCCTCCTGAAAACTAAAGCGTTATTTTCTGATGTCACTGTTTGACTGGCTAAATGATGTAATCTGATTGGGCTTTTAGTTTTTATTCATTCCAGTTTCATTCCAAAACATTAGGGTGATGGGACAGAGGTCTTCCAGGCCCACCAAATGTAAGTTGTCAAAAAGCAGTAGAAACATGCAACATGCTGTTCACAGAGTTCAATCAAATGTTGAAGACACTCATAGGCAAGCGGTGTGTGTTTTGATTACTTTACGCGCTGTGCTCTGGCTCTGTCCGGGTCCCTTGCTTTGAGGTGAACCACAGGCGTGCCGACTCTCACGTCCTCTGAGAGGGTTACATGAACCTCGGCTGGGCTGAAAACAGGAGGCTCGTTTCTGTCAATGACTTTTATTGTGACTGTGGCCGTAGAGGTGGACACGGGGATGGAAAACGGCGCCTCGTTTGTCACCACCACCAAGAGTTTGTACTCAGACAAGCTCTCAAAATCCAGCTCCTTGGAAAAGAAGGAGAAAAGAAAAGTAAACATGATGCTTATGTGACTTGTGAATAAAACTTTAAGGGTAATTTCCTGAACCTTGGCTGTTGTGATTATTCCCTCCATCTTATTTGAACCAACAGTGACATTAAAGGCTCCACCTTTGTTGCCTTTGATGATGGAGTATTTGGTGTTTGAATTTGGAGATCCTGGCTCGTCCATGTCAGTGACTTTGAGTCTTGCTACCTCGACTCCTATCTCGTTCTCATGGACTGTTGTGGACATCTTGGACAGAGCAAGAAACACTCCTCAGTGAGTTCAAAAGTTAAACTTTAAGCACATTTTTAATTTCACCATATTACAGAGGACGTTTTGCAACTTACAGATGTGTCAGTGAAATCTGGAGCATTGTCGTTGCTGTCAGTAACGGTAATGATAGCAGTGCAGGTTGTGGTATACCCTTCCCCTTCCATATCAGCAGCAGTAATGATCACTTTGTATTCTGGGTGAGTCTAGAAGGACAAAATACGCAAGAAAGTTGTGGGGGAAATAAAAGATATAATAATGCTCACACAGAAAGCCTCATTACCTCTCTATCCAATCCCTGTTCCTTCAGACTGATCAGTCCACTCACTGCGTTTATGGCAAACATCCCGTCTGTGGGCATTCGATACCTAACTATACCGTTGTCCGTATTTGGATCGTCCTTATCTGAAGCTGTTACGCTCAAGATGGATTTACCTGTTGAAGAAATCAAGTTACGTCTCCGAACTGAAATGAATATTTAGGTACTGCTAGCTTGCTGTACTGACTCCTCACCAACTTCGGCACTTTCGCTCACTGTGCCTGTGAAAACTTTCTGAGTGAATTCTGGTTTGTTGTCATTCTGGTCAATGATGTTGATGATGATCTCAATGGGCTGCTCTGCGTTCTTTGACTCTTTCAGGGCATAAGCCCACAGCTGTAACAGAAACATCCAGAAGGATTTCATCTGCTCGACCCCATCAGTCTCGTATTAGGAATGACAAGAAAAAGAAGAAATGTTTAAATGTGGCTTACAGTGTAACTGGCTTGTTCCTCCCTGTCCAGTGCCTTGGTCACATACATCGCACCAGAACGGCCATCGAGAGTAAAAATACCTTCAGGGGGCTGATCCGCACCTGGGCCACTGATCCTGTAGGTTATGGCTTCTGTTTCAGCTTTACTTGACTTGAGCTTTGGGAAAAAAAAGCAAAACAAAAAAAAAACCAAAATAAAATCACAACTAAAACATGGAAATACACTCCTGATTAAAATCTTAAGACCAGTCAAAACATTGCAAGAATTTGCATTTTACACTATTGGATCTTAAGAAGGTTCTAAGTAGAGCTTCACAATGTTAAAAGAAGAAATCAGCGTAAGAGACAAAAACTTTTGAGCAGGGAATTAATTGAAAACTGCATTTACACTCAAACATGATTTTTTCAGCTGATCAAAAGTTTAAGACTATAGTTTTTTAAAGCCAAAAGCTGTGCAAAAATCTGGATTCCACGTCATTTTCTGTCAAGTCTTTACACTGTCAAGACCCCCTAGTCTTGACAGTGCAAAATGCAAATTCTTGAAGTTTTTTAACTGGCCTTAAGATTTTGATCAGGAGTGTATTTTGAAGAGGAATATTTCAGAGCACATGTATTGACAGCAGTAAATTTCTCAAACAAAAACTCACTCACCATCACCAGAAATTTGGGAAATGGTTTCTGGTCATTTTCTGGAAAATTGATTTGTGGAATAACCCAGCCCCTCTTCACTCTCCTCAGACCATCAGCCAGTGGATGCTCTGGCAGCTGCAGAACGGTGGCGGCATCATCCTGTTGGAATGACGACACCATGCTGCGTTACAGGCATGATTCTCGCTCATTAAGTGATGAAAACGTTGTTTTAAATGTACCTCATGTTTGCTTTCATTTGGACTGTTTGCATTATTGTGAATTTTCCCCAAGAACCTCAGTTGTGTCCATGCTGGATCTAGAGATACCAAACACTGTGGAGCAAACATTAAGTATTTTTTAGCCGGCAGTTTTATGTGCCATTACTACACGGCAGTAATGCTCAATTTAGGGTCAGATATGGGTGGGAAGAAATATAACAGCTATAAACTGTGTCCACAATACATCTGTACTTGGTGACTCATCTTTGCTTTACTTTCCTCTCAGCGATGTGGTTATCATTGTTGCCTGTGCACCACGCTTTTCCTTCCACCAGACTTTCTGTTAACAGACTTTAATAAGGTACTCTGTAAACAGCCAGCAAATCTACCAATGGCCTTTTGTCACTTAAACTTCCTTGTGGAGGGTGTTGGCCGCTCAACTGTTAGGTCAGCCGTCTTTCCCATGATTGTGGAGATCAAAATATGACTATGACATAAATTTATGTAATAAAAATTCATAACGTTCAAATATTCTGAAAGTTTTGGGTGTTTGTTAGTCTACCCCTGTGGTAAGGAATCAATAATATACAATGCATTTCCCTTTTTTAAATTAATAATTGAAATAAAATAAACTCTGACTATGTTATAACTCACTGATATATTCTATGCATTCATATTACATTAGTTTGTATTTCTCTGCTCTGTTTGCTCTGTCACATCTGACCCTGACTTGACGTTGCAATAACTTCTTCTCCCTTAAATTGTTTCGTTCATTACTATGTCATTGTGTGTTTTCCATGAAGTCTGACTATTTAGAGCATTCATCTGCAAATAAAATATGACATCTAATTGATTTCACTTTAGTTTAAAAAAATTATTAAATCATTTGATAACAAATTTTGCAACATATAAATATATTAATGCAACTTAAGTGATTTTTGAAACCTAAATGACAGGAACATACGACCTAAATCACAGAAAAAAGCTATTCATTTTATGAAAAAAATTACATAATAGCAAAAACAAAAACCAATTAGCTTTGAAGTTTTAAATTTTAATTTTAAATCGTCTTATTCTCAGAATGTACTGGGATAAGCTAGAAATATAAGACAGATCCAGATCGATCACTGCAGATGTTTCCGCTTCATCTCCAAACTCACCTAAATATTCTAACCTACAAGACAATAATATTTAATAGTAAGACAAATATTAAGTTAAGCTTATTCACCTTAAAACTGTGAGGCTCCAGGTAAACACAGCAATTACACACAAATGGAGAAAATATGGAACAACGATGAAATAAATAAATAACAAAAGAAAGAGGGAAACAAAAAAATCATTTAAAATGTTATGGTAATAAAAAGCAAACAATGGGAGTAATATAAACCGCTTTTTCATGGCAATACATTTATATATACCTAATAGTTTATCGAGGAAGGGTATAATATATATATTGTTTTACATAGTAGATTTGCACATTTTAAATATAATCCCTTTTGTTTAGAAAAGACAGGTTTCAAAACAACTAAACTAAATGTGAATTGCTCACCTTGAGTTGCCAGAAGATGAGAGTCACTATCAAAATCCTCCTGATTCCAGTCATGTCCTTCATTTCTGACACCCAGCGGATCTGTCCTGTCGCTGGATCCTCTCTCACTGTCCCCACTGCTTTGTGTGTCAAGTTTGCAACCTTTACCAAAGTTCCTCTAGTATTAGCACTTCCTCTAGCAATGAACTTTCTTCTCCACCACACTACCGTGCTCTTACTGTGAAATCAAACCGATGACCCTAACCCTGTGTTTACTGTTTAACACCAGTAATGCTGAGTTTCCGTATGACTTCATCAAGGGGGGAGACGGTTAAAAACAGAAACCAACAATGAAAGCCGGCTCAGCCAAACATAGAGGTGTGCTTATGGAGGCAAGACTTTCCACTTAATTTTTTTTCCAAAATGTATTATCTTTCTCTAATATTTTATAAAAAAATAAAAAAATATATATATGTAAAATCCTCTAAAGTGTTTTAGTGATAGAGGTAAACTAAATTGATATTTTCCACTTGGGATTTGTTTGCAAAACAATCAAACTTGTCTGGATGAACTTTCGTCACTGAGGACAAACAGTCGTGTTTACAAAACAGCGAAGGATCGGATTTGGCTCCCATGTTCCCCAGCTCTTAAACAACGTTCACAGTTTATTGTGAAAACTTTGAAAACTCTGCTGTTGATATGCTGAGATATCAGAGAATTGAACTGTTCTAAATTATAAACATCGAAACAAAACGTTTCTGCAAAAAAGAAATGATGTTTTTTGGTTTTCATTTATGTATTTATTTATAAAATAATATATATATATTTTTTTTTCCCATTATGGAACAGATAATTTAAAAACATCAACAGTTGATTAAATCAACATGATACTCTTCATAGAAATTTTACGGTAAACTTCTTAGCCTCACATTAACACAAAGTAAACGGAAAAAAAAGGCAAAGATGGATTGTCTGTGCAAGACACCAACAGGAATACTGACAAAGGTAAAAGTGCTGACATGAAACATTCTCTCCCAAAGGAAAACTGGGATTATATGTCTGAAATTTTAAAGGTAATCAACAGTGATTCATGTAAAATAATATCTGGACAGAATATGACATTGAAAAACAACCATTTCACTTCATCTCATCTGTAAAATAGCTCACGTAACACCGGCCATGACAAAATACTGACTGTACGTAACCAAGCGTAGCTCTGTGGTACGACTCACTGAGTCTGCTAACTGTGGCGGGGTCTAGCCAGGTCGTAGTTCAAATACACCACAGTAACTGTGATATCGTCCCTGTACATTCTGGCCAGGTCCTCCGGCAGAGCGAGCATTGAGGCCAGCCTCTCCTGGGACAGCTCCCCATACTCTCCAGTTCCAAGAGCGTGTCGGATCAGATGAGTGGCGGCGTTTTTATCCAGAGCCGGAGAGGCGCGAGCTCGCCGCTTCAGCAAGAGTTCGTGCATCTGACCCAGCTTCAGCTTCCGCTCCGAAGGAGAAACTGGAGCCTAAATGAGCGGAGATTAAAAAGTCAAAAAGACATGACAAGATAGTTAGGACATGATAAATATGAATTGACTTGCTGTAAACAGTGCTATTTTCAGTCTGGCAACCTTTTAAAGGGATGGTATTATGTATTTTCCAGGCACATTGTGCCATCTTATAATTCAAATCCATAACATATTATCTTCAGTCGTTAAAAGAAAAATGCATTTGAGATTGGCCTCCTGCCTCTTTAAGAAGCTCCTACTCTGACACTCTGCCATCAGTTCAACATCACAACAATGCTTTCCGTCCTTTGTGAGAGCAAACATTTAGACACCCCCGAACGGTTGCCATGGGAGATTCAAAAATTCATCAAACACGCATGAAGAGATCATATCAGCACTCCAGGTATGGTTTGGATGAGGGAGTAACGTTTCTGTACTGTTCTTTCTCAGTTGTTAAATTTAAATGTTTGGGATCAACAAAGAAATGTTAATATTCCTCAAAGATAACCGGAGTAAATACAAAATCTGTTTCCATTGATTTAATGAAAAAAGCTGTGTAAAGCTACCTGCACCTGTTTTAAAAGAATAGATAGAATCTACCTTTTAGCTTAATCGTTTGTGCCACCCTTGGCAAAATCAGCACATTGTCCAAACACACATGGGCAGTATATAGTATTTAGGGGGTTTCCCTGAACAAACCTGTAAATGAATTCCACTCAGGTGTTCTCCAACTAGCCGCACTGCCTCCTCGCTTGAGAATTCGTCCCACAACCCGTCGGTGCCGAGGATCAGGAAGCGGTCCTGGGGTCTCAGCTTGTGATAGGTTATCTCCGGTGTCACTTCCAGGTACGGCGGTGTTAAATAGTTAGGCGGAGTGTACTGATACAAGTTCAGAGAGTCGAGATCCACTCCAGCTTCAAGGCTGGCTAAAATGCTCTGCTGCAGCTCGACGCTCCACTTGAATCTCACATCACCGAAGGCGCGTAGAGGCATGAGAACCTGAAAATGAGACAGAGAGAGAGAGAAAAAAAACCTAACTTATTTCATGAATCAGATTTTCTTTGTTTATAGCATTGAGGCACCAACTCACCCCCAGCAGTCTCTCTTCTGTGACCACTGTGTCTCTCTCTGAAGGTGGATGCTGTGCTCTGATACGCTCCAGCTCATCTTGGTTCTGTGAGTTGTGGTCTTTGGAAAGAGGGACAGCACTCCATGAACCGTCACTGTTCTGCACCCCTAAAACTGCGCGGCAGTCTCCTGCATTTGCCACGTGGATCCCATCGGTTCCAACGTGAGCCACACAGGCAGTGCATCCAGCAAACGCCACCTGGAAAGGAAAGTCAGAGATGGGGAATGTACGTGTCTCTAGAACTCCCGTTTAAGGCTGCCTGATATCTGTGGATGTAAAACCACTAGAGTACTGACTGATTCCCATCAATGGGAACCTCAAAACATAGGCCCAAACACATCATGAAGAACTCAATTGAGAGGAGGAATGGCTGACTGACATTTTTCCTTGTGTATTATTCAGACTGCGTTAGCTCTAAAGCGAAAAAGACTTGTGTGTAGTTACCTGGATGGCTGTACTTTTCATAAGGTCACTGGGAAGTGGGACTTGAGCCTCCAAAGAGATGTCGGCATCAAGACGTCTAAAGGCACAACTCAGGGCCTCCTGAGGACTAGACAAAAATATTACAAAAATATCATTAAAAATATTAATATTGTCCTCAATGTTACCATTGAGGACAAAAATATTACCTCAATGAATCAATGGCTTGATTCATTGATATTCTCTCAATGAAGTTTCTTGTCAATGCATTCTAAAGGTTTATGTAAAAATTTTGTGACATAATAGATAAAAGTGTTTCATTAAAAGTTGCATATTCATGCCATCCAATTCAAGTTCAAAATTACACCAGTAATATTGTAACTCTAGTAATCCTAAAATATCTGACTTGTCATAACACAGAGAAACACTCAGATCCGGAACCAAGTTTCAAAAAAGGCAACAAATATTTCACAAAAAAAAACAAACAAACAGGCACACATCAGAAAAAAGCCATTTTCAAGAAAATGCAAACTGGTTAAAATAAAAAAAAAAAACATGCAGAGGTAATATGGAAAAAGATCAAGGACCTATGATAATTCCAATAATAATATAAATAACCTGTCAGCTGGCTGAACAAAGAATCAAATAGTTTTCCTTAATTATAAGAAAGACAACTTCATCTGCTTGGAAGAGTCAAAAAAGTTAGTAAACATTAAAGATAACATTAATATAACTAAAAATTAGATCACATAGTTTTTTTTAGTAGCAGAAATATTTGGTTCTTTTCTGAAATAAAAGCAATAAGATCATGTTATACACTTGTGTTTGAAACTGTAGTATTTTCACAGAGTTTCATACCTAGCATGTCAGAACTACAAACATGTTAACCTACCTCATGCCTTCTTCATGCTCCTCATTGTCCAGTAACTCTTGCCAGAAGACTCTAAGATGTCTTATGTACAGGGGGGCGGATTCGCGATAGTTAAAATCTGAATGATGTTTATACCATTGTAAGATGGGTGGGACAGGCCTGCCAAGTTCCATGCACTTATCAAGCTCTTCCAGGGTTTGCTTTGGCATCATTGCCACTGCTATATAGTACAGCAGCCGCTCGCTTACGGCCTGAGCACATGCCCAGCCCCCGTGGCCGTCAAACACTCCAAACAGCATGCCCTTTGACTGGGGATTACACACACACAAAATGTTGCATTTTAAAAATTGGGGAAAAAAATTAAAACATAAAAAGTAGATGCATACCTGTAAGCATGTGGCTGCACTACGACGATCCTCATTAGGAGTATTTGCAGGTAAATGGTTGCTGTTGAACTTTCTCACAGCGCTGAGTGCCCTCCCATCAAACTCAGGCACATTCACAGTCTGAAACCAAAAGGCACCTTCGTGATTAAAATCTCAGTCAATCTGCAGACATATAAATAAATCAGATTAGTATTTACGAAACTGCCTATTCCAAAAAAAAATTGTGCTCACGTGCACATTAAAAACATATTAAACATGTTTTCAATGGTATGATGTAATATTACGCTCTTAAATGCCATGTTTACATAAGATGGAAGCATAATATCCTTGTAATTAAGAGGAATAAAGATTTGAAGATATCTGTATGTATGTAATTATAATGCATTTCACTTAATGAATTAACTTACTGAAAAAAAATAGTTTTCTTAATAATATTCATATTTATTGAATGTGATTCAGTAAAAATGTGAAATAAATAATAGATTAGACACCAACTTCTCAGCATTATTCAGCTGTAGGGCAAAATGCCTATTTTTATTTTATTTTTTTACAGTATTTACTCAGTGCGAAAAAAAAAAAAATCCTTCCACTAACTGGAAAGCAAAAGAAAATGTGTTTTGGGAGCAAATTACATTTTTTCCCATTACATGCTAATGACAACCCTCAAATAATGCTACCCAGGGTGGAGAGCCATATTAACCAAATAAAAAATTGCCACTGTTCCTTGTCTATCTGTGGAACCAGCTGAGCTACAGCATGTTTTGCTCCTAAATATTATTGTTATTCAGTGTGATTTCTCTTACCTGTTCATTGCTTCTTAGGATGCTATTAATCTGCACTAGGCTCTGCTGAAAGTCTAAATCCTCTCGTGTTGAGAAATGACAGCAACTTCGAGTCCAGACTCCAGATTCCTCCCCAGTGCAGAAACTTTGGTCTGATCGAGACGGACTCCAGGATGAAAAGGGACAGTTGAGGGCTGTCTGAAAGGAAACAATAACATAAGGCTACAAGTTTGGCGTCATAAACACAAAATACAAGAATTTTGATAGAATGTGCATATGAACAGTACAGTCAGACCAAGATACAAACTTGGAATGGGACTTTGCGATAAACCTTCAGCTTGTAGCTAAAAGCTCGATGGAGAATCCTGGAGTACACACGTCCATACATCGCTACAGACACGGAGCTGGCGCTATGAGGTGCAACTTCTTCAAATTATTCCGCTTTAAATCTGAGCAGAAAAGACAAACAAGTCACTATGTGCATGCATAGTTGTAACTTAAGTTATACATCAGATTTCTCTGTTGTCATTTAACACATGGGTTAGTCAGCTTGAAAGCTGCACGTCAGCTAACCAAAGGCTCACCTAATGACACGACCTTTGATTGTTATTACGTTTGACACACATTGTTGAGATTTGACGGTTTTACAGCTATTAGCATGCTAGCTCTTCCTCACTCTGCTAACGTTTGGTAATTTCCGACACAGCACTACCCAAGAATCCATTCTTAAAGAGGCTACACACGAGCACATGTATGTAGCTTAAGAAATGTGTCAAATCCCGTGTAAGCAAAACTTACATGGTTGCGTACAAACTTTGTTACGAATGAAGCAAAGTCCGTTCACATGCAGCAAAACACCAAATATGACAAGGGGGACGTCCAGCAACGTGTGACGTAAGGATCTGACGATCACCTATTCAGATGGTCAGAAAACTGTTGCTAGCGCCTCACATCCTAGTTACATCCACTTTTATGTGTTCTCCAATAACTTTCATTATTTATTTATTTGAAGTGGTTTATTTGTTTGTAAGGAATGGGCTTACAATGTCCGGTTTAGGCATAATTTTCAGGTTTTGTAGCGCAAACCAACGACAAGAGTAGTGGGGCGGGTGTTCCTCCGGGGTTTCCACGGTAACGCAGAGTTACGCTCACGAGCCTAAAAGAGCAGTTGACAACTCCCGCGAAAACGTAATAGCAAAATATGTTCTTCACAGTTTGTGAAGTAACAACTAGAAAGTAGTTGCAGTTTTAGACAGACAATGCGATCATATTGAGAAACAGTGGGCTTTTACTGTAAGGAAATTGTTGTCTTAATGTTTTAGTTTAACTTTATAAATTACGTTACCGTTGTCAGGCTAACGCTAATCCCAAATGTAGCATGTTGGTGTAAACGTTTTTCTTTTAGTCCAGGGGTTGGTAGTACCCTACGAAATCATAATATTTAGAAAACCAGGTATAAGAAATTTCTCTGAAGAAGAGTGAAATGGATAGGGCAGGCAGTTGCAGGAACAACCGTAACAGTAAGTGATGCAAATGCTAAATGATTACTGTATGTTTTTGAACACATTTTAATTCAGTTATAATATGGATTTACTTAGCTGACTTTATTTTTATTCCTTTAATTTCAGCAACAAAGACAGATCTCAGTTTGCTGCTTGAGTGTGTGAAGTTTCAGATGAAATGTCCAGATTCACAGAAGCAAGCACTTCTTACCATTCACTCCATATGTGAAAAGAGAGGTAACAATGAAACCAGAGCTTTTAGACTGTTCAAAAATATGAAGCATAAAGGCATAAATATTTTTGAATTGAATTACTAAAACAAAATTCATTTTGGTGACATTCTAGAACAGCACAGAATGTACCTCTTAAACAATGCTGCAATTTCTGCTTCAGAAGGTTGTCAACATATTACACTTGTTCACAATCTAATGTTAACTCTAATTATAAGTGTATAAATTATAAGTGTGAAAAGAAATTAAGTGTGGCTCCGTATGGCATTTATCCACTGTCTGTTTTACCCGATGTTTTCTTCCTTTCAGAGGATAATGTGGATCTGCTGAGAGAACTAGGTGGTGTGTCATTTTTGTATAATCTGTCCAAATCCAGTAATGTTCATTCAGATGTTAAGGAAACTGCTCTCTTTACCCTTGGCACACTAGCTGAGGCTAATGGTGGGTACACTTGTCTCAGAGTTATTACATCCATCCATCCATCCATCCATCCATCCATCCACCCACCCACCCACATATTCTTGCAGGGTACAGAAACATTTTTAAAAATGTAAATTACATGTGTTTTATAATTTATTATCTCATAAAGATGTCTAAAATTAAAATATACTAATGTCTTTGTTCAGATTATAGGCTAAGTTAAGTTGTCCTGTGTGCACTGTAATTTCATATAAAATTAAATTGTTGACAATGTCATATATATGTTTTGTTTGGTAGTGTATTGCAAGAATTCACTGTGCAGAAAGGACATATTCATCGACATTGCTGGACATTTGCAAGAAGACAGCCCACTGAATAAGAAGAGGGTGTCTGTCTATTTGCTGTTTGTTCTGGTTGCACACAACAGTAAGATCATACCTCTTTAACTGAAACAATAAATAAAACGAGTAAACAACAGGATGATTGCTTTATATGACATAACATATTTTTCTGACAAGTTTTAACTTGGTTTGTTTGACAAGTATTTGCCTTTGTGGTTTTTCAGAATTGGGGCAAACTTTAGCACAAACCACAGGCTGCCTGGAAATTCTGATGGACCTTTTCAGGTACTGTGTTGTGCCATTGATGTGTAGATACATTTTTGTTTTGAAGAATACGCTCCTCTGACCTTTGTTTTTTTCTTCTTTTTTTTTTTGTAGGAGCACTTTCCCCTTCTCAACAGTAGATAATCTGAGAACTGTCAGCCAAAACTACCAACTCTGGACATCTGTGTCTAGTGCGCTGTGTGGCTCCGTCAACAATCCCCAGAATGGTAATATCATCTGTCTTTGTCCCATGTAGTGATGAAACTGTTTTAAAAACATTTTCACCTCTGTTAGGTATTTATTTTTACTGTTTGACTGAAATCAAATAAATCTGATAGTGATGAAAATGAAAATGGAAATGAAACAGGTGCAGTAACCTGGCAGCACAAGTGTGGATGGATCTGTTGAAGGATAATTTGAGCCAATTCGGTCTTCATAGGTGCAAACCTGCTTTCAGTCATCGTGAAATATACTTTGGTACTGCGAAGACTATTATGAGTAATTTGAGAAAATATTCCTGTAACCAGTTTGGAAACTATGGTTTAGCCACAAGATGATTGAACAAATTTTGAGAAAATACAACTTGAACAGCTGAACTTCACTTCAGTTACATCAGATTTACAATAATTTATAGCAGAAGAATCAATTGGACACTTAACAAATCATTAGTTTAAGGGCATGGGGGGTTATGCAACCAGTTTTTTTTACAGTTTTTATATTTGTCATAGATAGATTTGTGTGTTTTTTAGGCTAATAATACGGTATGTGCATGCGTCACACTAAAAGTTGAAAATGTTGGGAAATCAGTGGTTAATTTTCTTTACTTCTCAAAAATTTGGTATTTTAACAATGGGATGCAGACTTTTTATATCCTCTGTACCGTTACTTTAATACCGATTCTTTTCCCGTGCTGGTAAAATCCTTCAAACCCTCCACGAGACACAAGATCAGCTGTATTCCACCATGCCTTTGTTTTGTTTGCAGAGGAAGGTCAGCGCATTTGTGTTGCAGCCTTTCCCATCGTGAAAACATGGCTTCAGCAGATTTCTGTGCCCTCTACTGAAACCTTTCAGCCCATATGCTCCTTTATCGCCATGACAGTTTCCAACAACTGTGAGGAAACAAAACACAATGATTTCTGCTTCAAACACTGTTTGACATTTCCTAATGCCATTTAATAATTTGTAGTATTCATAATGTTTCACCTTTTACAGCTTATGTACAGGAGAGTTTTGCTGCCTGTGGAGGTTTGGAAACCCTTACTCTGGCACTGCTTCGTGTTGTGTCTGCTGCAGGAACCAGCTTGCTGTCTCGTCAGCTGTCAGTTGTTATAGTCAAGACCTTGTCAGCTTGCATCACTGATAACCGTGAGTCCTGTTTTTAATAATGTTCAGATTACGTTTGGCAGTTTCATTTCAACAAAACCTCTCCTATACGGTTTTCATTCCAGTCTCTTTTTTGTTTTCATTTTAGCCCATCTGGCAGCAGGTTTGGCGCAGTACGGTCTAGTCTACCACCTTTTCTTTCTACTGACCAGCTCACACTTTGATCCTGATGACAGGCTCTCAGTTCTACTTGCCATTGGGGAGTGCACCGAAGCCTCAGGTGAGACTGCTCAGTAATGATGCAGAATTTGCTCTCAATACTTCTGTCATTTGGTTGAAATCCTCTCAATTGGCATGTTTTTGCAACTTTGTGTCTATGTTGTATTTGCAGAGGAGCACCAGTCTCAGCTGGTGGATTGTGGAGGCTTGCCGATTATGATAACTTTTCTCACAGAGGACTCAAGTGAGGACGTTAGGAAAGCAGCGACTTTCATACTGCAGACTTGCAAAAAGGCCAGTAAGTGTAATTTATTTAATATTTCATTCCACCTAATAAAAAAATATTTGGGGACTTTATGATTTAGTTTTGTTGGATGCCACACCTCTCAACTTCAAGTATATCTGCAAGTATAATGGGGTTTTTTTGACACAAGGGAAGGTCCAATATACTGTTATCAAAAGTGGTTATAATGATATGCCTAATTGGAATAAGATTCCTTTAGATTCTTTGTAGGTTCACACTGTGGTCTTGGCAATATTTAATGTGTTACCAGTGTTACTATTTCACATGGTTCACTTTAAACGTATTTATTTCTCTCTAAAATGTGTAACTACTAAAAGTTATATTTTAATTAATAATACCAAGGTTTTAAAGTGACTTATTTTGTCTGTTGGCAAAGTGTTGAGCTTGGGAGTGCATGGTCTGATGGAAAAGCAAGCTGAAAATGAGGAACCTCCTTTAAACATAGAAGAGTTTAAGAATTCAGCCAGAGAAATTATACGCAGGATTGAACTGTTAGAGAAAACACAGCTGAAGGTTAGTTGCATACACACACACACACACACACATGCAATGCAGTTGTAAAATTATGGTCCATAGTGACTAATACTTACTTGTTGGGTTTTTTTTTAGGAGATTGGAGAGGAGCAAGAAGACATTCTTTGTCCAAATTCAGTTGAACTTCAGCCATTTAAGCCCCCACCTTTACGTCTACCAGCCCAGAAACTGGAAGCCAATAAAACTACCAGCATACTGAGGCCCATACACAAGAGCAGTGGCGACAACAGCAGCCTCCAACTTGTCAAAAGCATGGCTGAAGTAAAGAAAGTCACTTCTAGGTTGATTCCTCCAGGAGAAGAAACCAAAAGGAGTGGAGGAGATGTGATGCGTTCTGTGAAAAGCGGAGGACGAATCGGGATGTCTTCTGACGTTTGGTCATCAGAGGGAGGCAGTGAGCCACATATGGAAAACAAGTCAGTAGAGTCCACAGAAGTTACAAATCATAGGGGAAGAAAAGCTCTTTAATAACATCCTTTTCCTTTTTATTTTTGCTTAGTTCCTTGTTTAGTCATCCCTTGTCAGTGTGGCTGACAAAACCAAAAGGGATTAGGTGCTGTTATGGTGAGAGACAGAGTCATGCGATAACTTCTAAATACTTTATTGTCAGTTATTGTTGGATGCAGCTTCTATCAAG